TGCTTTTTTACACATTTGGATCCATCCCAAATCCATTGCTCTTCAAAGGCAGGAAAAGGTAATTACTTGTTATTTGACTATTCCTCATTATGGCCATTTCAATTAACCCAAAGTATTTCCAAAAATAAATGGTCTAATAACTTTTGCATGTTGAAACACCTAGACTTTTGTTTTTTTTTTTTTAAGTCTGATATTTTTCCACCTCATTATTCAACTCTTAAAATGTCTGTATCCGGCGGGCCATTTTAAACAAGTTTGCTGATGGCTTTTCTTTGCTCTCCTGGAATTGTTTGATTTCCTCGTTAAGGTGGAGAATGTAGTGGTTGTAAAACAGGCAGCATTTTAAGTTGATATCCTCGGAGAATGGCTTTTGAGTATCTGATCTTTTCATCTTTGCAATCAGAGAGACAGTAGACAATGAAAATATTTCATCCCAAGCTGTTAATATGTCAGCAGTTAACACCCTGGATGTTCGTGGCCACAGTACCTCAAGTGTATGTGAGCAACCAGGATGAGAAGCAATGAACTTCAGAAGTTCAAGTTCATACGCTGTCTGAAGACAGACTGTCAAAGGTCAAACTTAGAGCATGCACGCAAAGGCGCCTTACATGTGGAGCAGAGTCCTCCACCATGATCTGGACAGTGTTGGCTTTGAGATGGTTCGTGTTCTAGCCTTCCCACTACTTCCTTAATTATCTTAATCATTTTGGCAGGAGGAGGTTTGGCCGTAGAAAGGGATAATTCTAGAATTAAATCATGGTAACGGTCAGGAAATCTATCCTGGATGTTATAAATTCCTGTGGTGGGATTCCAAATCTGTTCGTTTTTCTTTTTTTGTTGCTTCGGAGGTAAGTCCTTTAATACATACCCTTGTGTAAAAATGTAGACCCCACGGAATGTTTGTCTTTAACCTTGACATTTAGGAAAGCAAAAAGAAACAGTAAGAAGTTGAGTTTAGAATTAGAAGTATGCCTACTCCTCCCCCCATGCCCCAGCCCAGTTCTAAACTTTTACTTTTAATATTGCAGTAACACCACTGTTCATTTCCTGTTAAACTTCAAACCCACCTTTTGATTTTCAAATGTCCCTTAGGCTAATGTTTTTGCTGAAGAACGAAATGAACAGGCAGAAACAATTAAGGGAGCAGATACAGCGAAAAGAAACCCCCACACCTTACTCTCACAGACGTGGACGTGTAGGAAGGAATTCTGCTTCGAATCAGCACAGCCTTTTCATCTGGTGGATTTTCCTTTCCAGCTCCCCCTCCCAGCCTCCAATGCACACCACTTGCCCTTTAAGGGAGAAAATGATCTAGACACACAAAGAAACTCCTGAACACTCACAGGCATGGGAAATACTTTCTCTGCCTGTTACTGGTATGGGATAACAGCCAAGAAAGAAAATCTACCTAGATATTCTCAATTGCAAACATCTTCCAGAACCCGTTAAACGTTCACATATGTCTCTACGAAATTTGTAATATGGATTGTTTATAGAGTCCTGATTAAGGACACGAAAGCCATTAAAAAGGATCAAATTGGTTTCAGGATGGAAAATTATTTTTTCTTTTTTCTTTTTTTAAATCAGGACTGTGGCCTCCTAGGAAAAGTATAGTAACTTAGTAATCTATGGCTCTTTCTATAAAAGATACATGAACAGCTAAAAGTAAGCTGTTCACGAGCCTGGAAAGTTCTATCAGGAATCACCAAGGAAGTCATTAACTCTATCCCAAATGAACCTGCCCTCCCATGCCCATGGCACCTCTGTGACTTTATGGGAGCAGTATCTTCACATTACTGCCACGCTGAGAGATCGTACGTGGAGGGGGCTCAGTGTTACCATCTGGGGATTACTTTGTTAGCATAGTATGTGGAGATGCAGCTTCACAAGAATGAATACTGATAGGAGGCTGTCCTGTACATATCTCCCAAGACTCGGGCCCATTAACAGAGGTAAGATCTGCAGATTCAGCCCAGCTTGGCCTGCCTTCACACTTGATTTCTGGACACCATGGACAATGGGAACTGGCCCACTCCAACACAGACAATGGGAAGTTTAGACCTTGTGGATGCCTTTCTGCACAGCCAAACAGCTCTAGCCCTGGGAATCGGGAGGATGGAAGGCACCCATAGGATTATACTGAGCGGAAGGCCTGGTTTCCTTTTTTATTGAATCCATCCCTCCGCATTTTCCCAATAAAACACCTCTCATAAACCGAGGTCCTTTGTATTTTTTGTTGTTGTAGTTATGGGAATATATTTTTTTAATACCAGCATAATAGTTTTACTCCGCAATAGTGAAGAGTTGAAGACAGCTGCTAGTAAACATAAAACCAGCTATATAATGGCATTACAATGGATTTTTTATTTGAGATTCCAGGATGGGGTAGATTTGTTACTCTACCAAATGGCTGGTTCCATGGAAATTGACTTCACACAATAGAGGACATTTCCCTGGAAAAGAGGCCGTTTATATCAGTTAAAAGACCACACTCCCTTTTCTTTGTTGTTTATTTAAAAAGCAAAAAAAAAAAAAAAAAAAAAAAGCAAACCTAATAACTAAAACAAAGAAAAGCAGCTCTGTGGTGTCTAGACGTGAGAGCTCTCTGGTAAGCCATGCTTTCAGGATTTTTGACACCAGTCCCAGGCACTGTAACAAGCAGGTGTACAGCTATGCATGCAGGGCACAACTAAGATCATTCTATCATCACGTCTACCTTCCTAACCCCAAACGGGGGCATCGCAAGGATTTGTGGGTGTCATGTTCCTACACAAGGCTTATCTTTCTAATATAGTGCTATATTTATTAGATGTCAGAGTGACCTTACAGAAATTCTTTACGTGGATAATGGAACCCGGAGGGAAAGAGCAATTACATATATAAAAGCATCTGTCAACATAGGCCTGGCTAAACCTTGGAAAGTGACATCGCTGCTACTGTGTGCGATCCTTTTTTCACCTCAGATCCAGGCTGACTCCCCCAAAGACCCACCAAGAACCTGTCAATGTGACCTTGGGGTGAGGGGTGGGGAGAGGCTTTGCATAGTTAATTATGCTAATCACCTCTCAAGAAATGATCCTCCTTGCTAAAAGTCCAATAACAAGCTTCCTCCTGAGCAAACAGGCGCAGGCAGACTGGGCAGGAGAAGGCAAGGAGAACTCAGGCCGGCAGGAAGGCCAGTCCTCCCTCAAACCAGGAATTAGCAAGGATTGATGGGCAGCCGCCAAACAGGCTGGGAGAGACACACAGAGAATGGATTTTCTTTCAGAACCTTGCCCATCGTCTTCCTCTTGGATTTTGAGTCCCCTCAAAAGTCTGAGAACACACTCTCCTCTTTTCAAACCATCCATTGTTTGTATTAGCCCTAGAAAATGACAACGTGCTGGCTCAGTGGGAGGTACTCTGTGGAGACTCTGTTTGGGGCAGGGAAGGGCGGGGCAGGGGAGGGTGGGGCAGGTGGAAGGACTCCTGTGTGTTTCAGGACTGCATGCCTGACCAAATCTCAGGGGCTGAGTTCTTCTAGAAACTTCCCTTTTCCCTTTTGGCTTCACCACCCCTCCCTGAAAGCTGGCTTTCCTCTCTTGACAAGAGACAGTACCATTTTATGGATTCAGCCACCTCAGAAAGACCCATTACTACTTCTTTTTAATTTGTATTTTATTGTCAAGGCGATGTACAAAAGGGTTACATAAGAAAGTTACATAAGAAAGGCACTAAATACATTTCTTGTTAAACTTGTTACCTCTTCCCTCATTTTTCTCCTACTTTCCCTCCCCCCCACCCCAAGTAGTACAGATCATTTCCAACATGTAGTCTTGTGAATATCGCTTGATTCCTCCTTGTCCTTTGTCTCACCATTCTGTGGTTCCAAATAAACATATAGACAACACCAGGTTACCAGAATAAAATCCCCCCCCCCCCAAAAAAAAAAGAGTCTCACAGAATAAAATACAGTGACCACAGTGGGAAGGCTTTGCTTTCCAAAAGCGAGTCATTGCTACCCAAGCCAGTCAGCGAGTGTCAGATGAGGCCATGGCTAAAAGAACATTCTGGATGGTTGACATATTAGACACCAGGGCTCTGTCTTCCGGTACCTCCTTGGTGTTTTCCTGAAGGACAACAGGTAGCATTTACAAAGACGTTTGTCTGGAGGAAAAGGTCTGCAAGTGAGTCTGAGCTCTGCCATTTGTGAGATGTCTGACATTAGCAAGTCACTTGACCTTTCTGGGCTTCCTTCCCTTCTTCCATAAGATGAAGGTAAATTCACTGTGCCGTGAGTCACTCGCATCTAGAAGGGTCCCAGTCATATTAGTTCATGGTGATCACGGAATCTGAATGACTTTGGAAAGGTCAATCACCTTATTTCTGCAGATTTCAGAATCTAAGTTGAGAGGAAAAGCAGGGCACGAATTCCAGCTGCCTCTCAGAGGAGTATGCTTCGTTACTTCCTAGGCCCTGTCCCCATTCCTGGGGACAGACAGTAAGGTCTCCTCCGAAAGGCATGATGCAATGAAACAAAAAGTCATCTCCCTCATTAGAGAGTATTCTAGAGATCAAGATGTCAACAAAGTTCAAAGAAACGCGTCGAGCACTTAAGATACAAAGGACCTAGCCAGGTGCATACACAACCTTCAGTCTGCAGAACGCAATTATATTAAAAAAGCATCCAGAGGAAAAAAATGGACAAAGAAACCGTAGTAAGTTCGGAATCCTCTACGTTTTCACCCCTCAGGTTTACACTCCTTACCCTCTGTTTGTATTTCCTTTTCTACCTTTTATTATACATACTGATTCAGGGAGTTCTTGGGAACTCCCTGAACTTTGTTTTCCAATGAAGAAATTAACAGAAAGGTTTGTTTTTTTTTTTTGTGGCCACAGCAGAAGAGTTATCAGTGCACCCCAAGACGACAGTTCAGGCCATTGTGTAACTTTATGCCTGGTCAATGCGTGCTTTTGTGCGCTTTGTTGTTGTTGTTGTTGTTGCGGGACAGGGGTGAGGTTCACTTGGCTCTTGCAGGAATGGAAGGGGTCACGTACGCATGGAGGGTGGTGCATACGCAGGGCTCGGGCGTGGAGCTGTCTGACTTCGTGTCGGGGATGTGCAGGTCTAGGGATTCTGATTCCCCAAAAAGATACTTCTCTAGGCTGGAGAAGTCTTCTTCCTCAGACGTGGTGTAGATGTGGACAAGCTCTTCTGTGCTGCAGGGGAGGGGATCTGTCCAGGGCACCTCCAAAGCCTCGAGGGACTGAGATGGTGGCGAGACAGGGAGTCCGGGGACGGCAGGCACTGCAGACTCCTGGGGCCTTTGTGGGCCTTGGTGGTCCCCACTTTCGGAAGGCAGCTGGGGGCTGAGGGCGGTGGCCCCAGGGACCCAGGCCTCGGTGGTGGCCTGGCCAGGGGAGGCTGCTGGAGATGACATGGGCGAAGATCCGGCTTGCTGCTGCTTCTTCAACTTGACCACCTGGTTCTTAAACCAAGCCCTCACCACAGACGAGTCCAGCTGCAGCCTGGAGGCCAGCTCCTGAAGCTCCTTCCACTTGGGGCAATGGGTGATGGTGAAGTACGCGGTCAGCTCGCACAGCTGGTACTCGGTGAACCTCGTGCGCCTCCGGCGAGAGGCTCGCGCCTGGTCTGCCATGGAGCCTCAGGGCACCTGCTCTGCCAGCCAGGTGAGTTCTGCGGGAGCTCAGAGTTCGAATGCCCCGGTGCCTGGGAAGGCCGAATTTAAGCAAGATGGTGGACTCCACCCTTCCGGACCCTCCCCAATCTCTTACCCACCCTTCAGCTCCCTCCCAGCTATTTGTCTAGACTGCGTGGCTCCTCCATTCTTCTTTATTCACTTGTCGGACTTATTTGTTCCTGTAGAAATGGGAGGAGAAATATATATATATATATGTATGTATGTATATATATATATATATATGCATATATTTTTTTCCTTGCTGGTCCTCAGGTTTGAACTCAGGGCCAGGGCGCTGGCCCTGAGCTGTTTTGCTCAAGGTTAGCACTCTACCACTTCAGCCACAGCACCACTTCCGGCTTTTTGGTCATTCCTAAGAGATAAGAGTCTCAAGGCCTTTCCTGCCCTGGCTGGCATTGAACCCTGATACTCAGGTCTCAGTCTCCTGTGTAGCTAGGATAATAAGGTGTGAGTCCCAACACAGGACGGGGTCATACTTTATCCCTACACCCTTAAATCAAACCTCTCCAACTGGGCTACAGGCCGCCTGTGATTGGTATTGGTCCCTGGCTCCCAAGGCTGGCCAAGGAGGATGCCAGTGGCCTTCAAGGCCTCTCCCCTGCAGCCCCGACCTGCAGCCGCTGCCCCGCCCTGCCCTTCCCTGGCTACAGAGAGCTAAGGCCTCCCAGGCAGGTGAGCTGGAATCTGTACACAGCCTGGCCTTGTGCCTTGTGGTGGTTGTGGAAGAGCCCAGGGTCAGACATTGGATTGACGTGTGTGTGTGTGTGTGTGTGTGTGTGTGTGTGTGTGTGTGTGTGTGTGTGTGTGTGTCGGTTATGAATCTTGAACTCAGGGCTTTGGCGCTGTCCTTGTGCTTATTTTCACTCAAGCCTAGCTCTCCACCATGAACCATTGTTCTGCTTGTGGCTTTTTGCTGGTTCATCGGAGATAAGTTTCATGGACGTTCTTACGTGGGCAGGCTTGGAACCTCGACTCTCAAATCTCAGCCTCCCGAGTAGTAGGCTCTTGTTGGCTGGCATAGATTCATGCTTTTTTTTTTAAACCTGTGCCAGCCTTGATCCATCCTCCTCCTGGTCTCTGATTCCCAAACAGCAGGGATTATAGTTTAGGCAGGGGAGGGGGAGAGGGCCCCTTCTTTGTGTCTGTGCTGAATGGTCTACAGAGCTCCCCTGTGGAATTCTGGGCCAGGACGTAGTCCCCTCGCCGGGGACTGTGGGATTGTGGGCGGACCGGGTCAGGGGTTTTGGGTGGAGGTGGGAGGCCTGTGGGGCAGTCAGCAGTCTGCTGGTGGGCAGCCCACAGGCCCTGGACAGTGGAGACTTCACAAGCCTCAGGCTCCTAGTTCTGTGACCTTAGGCCATGGAGACTTTGGAGGCTGCCAGCCTCCATGAATCTTCCTGAAGGGGGCTGCTCTCCTTTGCTTGTGGCCCCGCTAGAAAGGGTGGGATTTTCCTTCTTACTTTCTCTCTATTATTTTTAAAGGGTGCATATGCTGGTACCAGGACCTGAATTAAGGACTTGGTACTTTTGTTGTTCTCTCTCTCTCTCTCTGTCTGTCTGTCTGTCTGTCTCTTTCTCTCACTAAAATCTGCATTATTTTTAAACCTACAGAAATATTCTTACGTTTATGCTTTATGTTTTGTTAAGATCCACCTTGCCTTCCATTTTCTTCGACCAGAAAGGTCTAGTTTCTGTAAAATACCATGACTAAAACCAATGTAACCTGTTCATACTGTTACAAATGTGTGCACAAAACAGCACTGGTGCCGTTGTCGCCCTACACACTTCCCGAGAGCAGGGCCGCCATCAGCGCTGGGGATAAAAGGGCCTGGCCTTTCCGAGTTCCTGCCTGGCGCTCGGGGCTCCCGATGGCTGGAGCTCCGTCGCTCTCAGCCCTGTTCGAGTTCTCCCACTGCTTTATTCACTCACAACTTCCCACCGTTTTTCTTTTCCTAGTGATGGATCGTTGTTGTTCTTTTGCTGTTTGGAGCAAAGGCTCATGGGTTCTGGTTCTACACATGTGAAGGTGGGTGTCCAGTCAAAGAACCGGGGACCCCCAGTATAGACTCCGAACCTCCTCTGTACAGTGCTCCTCCCTTACGGGACACCCTGACCTAGATTCTAGCGAATGCATCAGCTCCAAGCTCCACCCCTCCTTCCCTTTTTCTGCCTCTCTCTGTCTCTCTCTCCCCCCTACCTTCTACTTTTAGCTTCCTCTTCATGCCCTCAGTTTAGAAAGTACCTCCAGGAAGATTAGGGAACCGACCTCCTTTAGTTTCTTTCCCAGTAATCACCATTCGGTGTTGCTTGGTGTTCAACATCTTCAACTGGTTTCAAATTGGTCTCCAGTTCCTGGCTCTTCCTGGCAAGAAGGCTGTTTGAATCTAAGCATGCAACTATGACTATTTGTGTGTCAGAAAGAACTAGGCCTTTCAGTTAACAATCATTTACCTTTATTTTCCTTTACACAACTTCATTATTAATCGCATTTTAAAAATCAATTCTGTTACCGTAGATCTTACTTAGTTTTTGTTCCTGTGAGAATTACAGCTATGAGAACCAGAATGAAAGCGGGTTTTTTTTTTTTCTTTTATTTTTTGTCCCCAATTTTCTTTAGTAGAGAACTTTATTTCTTTTCAGAGTGCTATTCACCTACGATGGAGAATGCTTCTGTGGATGGGAGGGCTAATTAGAGTCAATTATACCCTAATAGGCCTGGCAGGCTTGGCTTGAAGAGCGTTGTGAGGTGGGTTGCTCTTTGTGCTCCTATGAGGGGGACCGCTGTGGAGAGCATTGGTGAAGCACTGGAGACAGTGTCTGTGTTAACGGGACAAAGTGAATCTGTCGGACACCCTTGTATTCTTGTCATGTGAGAGAATGAAAATCCACGAGTGTCAACTTTGAGGCAACCAGGACCAAAATGTGCTCATTGTGTCCAGCTGCATATTACCCAGCAAATCAGACTTTGAGAATGCTGGCCTGTTCAGCAGTGCGGTGGCTTCTCTTAGGATGAGTTGAGGGCTTGGAAGCGTTGAGTTCCTGCAAGACTCTAAGCATTACTCAGGCCTGCGTTCAAAACCAAGCTTCCAAATGCACAGCCTTTGTTGATAATGAAATTCTGACTCTTTTCAGGTGTCAATCATTGAGCTGTAGTCCTTTAACAAATGCATTGTAGTACTAGGTACAGGATGTCAGGTGTTAACCAAATCAAGCTCTGTTAATGTCGTTACATGAAAAAAGACCTTCAAAAGAAAAATCTGTGTCTAGTTGAGATGCAAACCATTTTCACTGTCTACAGAGGGGGAAGATTAATATTGTGGAAACCTATCTTCCCAACTTCCCATTGTGGAATCATGGAAGCTGTTACACGCACCCCCAAAAAGGAATCACCTGGTCAATGAGATTTTTTTAAAGCAAAGTTTGGGCTGAGGATATCCTAGCCGCTCTGTGGCAGAGCACTTGCCTGGCATCATCCAGGCTCTGGGGTCCATTCCCTACAGGGAAGAAGAGAAAAGGCCAGCCAAGGAAAGCTTCGGCGCCAGTACCATTATACAGTTTACACCGTTAACTTTCATCTTGGCCACTGTGAGTTGCCTCTCTTTTCCCTCTCCTCCCCTCCCCTCCCTTTCCCTCCCCTCCCCTCCTTTTCCCTCACCTCCCTTTCCCTCCCCTCCCCTCCCTTGCCCTCCCCTCCCCTCTCCTCCCCTCCCCTCCCCACCCCTCTCCTTCCCTTCCCTCCTGTCCGGTCCACTTCCCTCCCCTCCCCTTCCCTTTCTATGATCTTTTCTTCTCTCTCTCTCTCTCTCTTTCTTTCTTTCTTTTCTTTCTTCCTTCCTTCCTTTACTTTCTTTCCTTCATTCTCTTCCTCTTTCCTTCTTTCTTTCCTTCATTCTCTTCCTCTTTCCTTCTTTCTTCTAATCCATTTCTCTCCTTCCTTATGCTCCCCTCCCCTTTCTTCCTCTCTTTCATTCTGTTTCTTCTCCCCTTCCTATTCCTTCTCCTCTCCTCATCTCTTCCCTCAACCACCTTTCTCCTTTCTCACTTCCTTATTCTTTTCTTCTTTCTTTCTTTCTTGTTTTGTTGGGTGTAGGGCTTGAACTCTGGGCCTAGGTACTGTTTCTCAGCCCTTCAGCTCAAGGCTAGCACTCTACCACTTGAGCCATGGCACCACTTCTGCTTTTCTGGTGATTTATTGGATATCAGAGCCCCATGGACTTTCCTGTCTGGGCTGGTTTTGAATGTGGTCCTCAGATCTCAGCCTCCTGAGTAGCTAGGATTACAGGCGTGAGCCACCCACCCACACCTCCTCCTTTCAGTTTTGAAATGATGATGTCCTTATGCTAAGTGATGGAAGGGAGGAGTCGTTTGAGGAGTCTTTTATTAAGAAATATTTTCTCTTAATGCTACATGGCATAAACCTGTTCCTTTGTGTGCCTAAGAATCATTGTTGAGCGCTAGGTTAAATTTTCCTTGTGGGTATACAGTGTCATATACAGTCGCGTCTGTGAGTGACAGGACCAAGGTTAGTGTAGACTTGTCATCACGTCGATGTGTTAAGTTCGTGTTTTTGTTTGAAGGCACTGGCAACACTACAGAAGGGAGATTATTCATTTTCATTAACATTGGGGTTTCTTCATGGAGAGGGGAGCCGTCACCCATTGTATTATGTCCATAGCTCTCGCGGTAGCTAGCACTCAAAGTCTGTATGAGGACAAATGCTGGCCAGTTCCTGTGATTCCCCTCCAAAAACGCACAAAGCTCAAGCTGTGTGCTGGGGACTCGCTGGAATTGTCAGTAGCCAGTGTCCTCCTCCACCTGAGGTAAGCAAGTGTTGAGATCTGGCCCAGCTACTTCCGTATGTTCTGCAGGAAATTTTCAACCGATGGCACATTCCAGAAAAAAAATGCAGATATGTTTTTGGTATTTAACATTTTCAT